CTTGTCGTCTCGTCACTGGTTCTTCACTTGGTCTCGATGAGTCCTTGACCTTTGAGGATCTCGGCCCGCCGCCTTGAAATCGCTGCGAGGAGTGAAATCAGTGAGTTGGCAGCTGGGAAAGAGGAGGGGAGAGGGAAGGAGGAAGGAAACGATGATGCAATGGGGAGGAGGAGAGCAGGAGAGGAGGAGAGGAGGAGAGGAAGAAACGGTTGAGCAGATGACAAATTGAGACAAGTTGAATGAATATGACAATCATGTGATCGCTCGTGGGTTCAGCATAGGTACAAGTCACCTGCTGCTCGTTTGCTCTCAACCTGCTTGTCGTGCATGTCGTCTGTGATTGGTTTTACAACAAGCTCGTCAAGCGCGAGTCTCCCCCTTGATAAGGTTGCGGTGGATCGGAACCTGTTGGATGAGAGGTGGTGAGGGAGAGGTCAGAGAGAAAGTAGAAGCAGAGGAGGAGGAAGGGATGGGAAATGGAGGATGAGGAAAGGGGGAGGGGGGGGAAGAAGATGATAAGAAAGTGGAAGAGGGAGATAACGAGGAAAGGAAAAGAAAAAGGAAAAGGATGACAAAGAGGAAAAGGAAGAGAAACATGAGCAGGAGGAGGAAATGAAGAAAACTGATCAGAAGATTGCTCTGCTGGCATGATTGAGATTCTTTTCTAAACTCTCACCTTGTCCTTGCTATCTGGTAGTCAAACTCAAGAAGTTGTCGAGAGAGCCTTTCACTCTTTTCCTGTTTGCGCAAATTGAAATCAGTCATGACATGGAAAACCTTCCTCCTCCTGCTCTTCCTCCCCCCCTTCATTCATCTCCTGCTCCAGTTCTTTTTCTTTCTTTCTCATCTCCTGCCCTGTCTTGTCCCTGTCGTTGTTCCCTTTCCTTCCCATTTCCTTGGCATGCATTCAGCATCACCTGCTGTATAGCGATTTCTTGTTGCAGAGCAATCATGTCATCGATATCCTCGACCTCCTCGACCTCCTCCTCCTCCTCCTCCTCCTCCTCCTCCTCCTCCTCCTCCTCTCCAGCAGTAGAATCATGATTGTCATCAATCATGTTTGTGATCTGCTTGCTCTGCTTGTGCATCTGCAGGAGGAGCTCGAGCTCCTGCTGGTTCTTGAAGTCGACCAAACAATCATTCTCGTTATACATCTGCACGCAGACTCGCAAGCTGGAGCAACGGGTAGGCATTTTGACTTGAAAACTTCCCCCCTTGATGAAGATGCGCAGCAAGCTCGATGACTGATCCTCGTCGAGTATCTCAAGAGAGATGTGATCTCCTGCAAATATGTGAGAGAACACCTCTGCTCCTTCCTCCTTCCTCCCCCCTCTTCCCCTTGTCCTCTTCCTCTTCTTCCTCCCTCTCCCTCTCTTCCTCCACCTGTCTCCTCGTCCCTCCTCCTGATCTCTTCCATCGCCCTCCCTTTCCTCCCTTTCCTCCTTTTCCTCCCTCCTACTTCCCGTTTTCCTCCATTCTCCTCATCTCCATACCTCCTCCTCTCCTGCTCCCGCTGTCATCATCTCGCTCGTACCTCCTCCAATCTCACACGACGGCAACACTTTCATCTCCTCCTCGCCGTTGAAGGCTCGTCCTGTCAGTCCGTCGACCCACCAGATCTTATCGCGCCATCTCCGTCTTCCCCAGTAAGACTTGGCTACATCCTGCCAGCATGTCAGACTTACAAGATGGAGTGTGAAGACAACAAGTGATACGGGAGGAGCAGTGATCAGATAAGCTCTCGAAAACAACTTGTGATAACATGATGTCAAGTGTCAAGAACATTGGACAATAGCAAGAGGAAAATCAAAGTTCAAACAACAACAGAGGAAAATCAAACAGAAACATGCGGCGAGGTAGTTTTGTTTGGACTCCTTGGAACAACGACTCGGGCAAGGTGTGACACCTCAAGATTTTTGGAAAGTACCTCCTTGTCAAAAACTCCAACTCCAACACTCACGCTCTCAACAAGAGAGAAGAACAGAAGATTGCAACGAAACGTTCCCCCTCCCGTCAATGAATCTGCATCATAGAACTGTAATCGTCAAAACCAACAACTCTGCACAATATCACTTGACAAGACGTTGGGTCTCTGGTCAAGAGCCAAGTTTGCATCTTTCTCAGCTCTTATGATAGATGTCCCTGCTGAAGATGTCAACAACACGAACGAGAGACTAACATTGTGCAGGATTCCCTTACCTTGCAACTTCAACACGTCTGAAAATTTCTCCCATGTAACAAACGTTTCTCGCTGCATGACTGTCATGTTCTTAGATCACGACATGTTCTCACTGACTTGGGAATCGCTCTTCAAGTCTTTCACTCGTTCCTCCACCAGGTCACTTAGCGTCCGAATCTTGTCAAGGCTTTCACTCTTGTCAGCTTGCTCATCATTTGATTGATCTCCCTATCCTGAACTCGTCAGCGATCCGCCATGTCCAGCAAATGCTGAACAAGACCTGAATTTGTCCTCTTGCCTCCGTCGATCTCCTCCCAACATGTCGATCAATGTTATTGGTCTCGCGCTCAACAGAGAAAAGAATCTGAGACGGCGACCAGCCTTTGATGCTTCTCCCCTTCACTCCCTCGCACTTATCGTCGACAAGCTCCTTCCATTCGAAACTTTTCATCTGCAACTCATCGCGCGCAGATTTGAGCATCACATTTACAAAGCTCTCCAGCGTGTGATTGAAACCATCTCCATCATACAGGTCCAACGTCACCCTCCCCACCAGGTTGGCTTGGATACAGAGGTCAGGAGTCAAAAACACCTGCTCGGGAGGACAGTTGTACACGTCCAGTCGCAGCATCCTCGCGTTGCTGTTCTGAGTTGTTGTGAAAGCCGCAGAGAGGTTGAACAGAGGATCCCTCCCCCAGCCCATCCCTGCCCACTCCTGTCCGTCTGATGAGCATGTCACTGACATTCGATCGACAAGAGAGAAAACAAGGACGAGGACGAGGACGAGGACGAGGAGCGAGGAGGTAGGGATAGCGATAGATGGCGGGAGAGAATGTGATCAAGAAAGAAGATAGCATTGCAGAGAGGTAGGTCAAAGGGATCACAGATCATTTCTACTAGCAACCCCAGGGGGGAAGCGAGGCCCGAGGCGGCCGCGGGGGAGCGAGGGCCCGCTTCTCTCCTGCTGCTCATCTCCTCCTCTGTATCCCTCCCTCGTTTCCCGCTCGCACTCACCCGAGTATTCCCGCAGAACGTCATCCGGAAATTTTGCAGGAGCGCGCGCGGCGTCTGTCAGGAATCCTCCGCGCATGTTGCACAGCTCGTCAAGCCCGTCCCATCGCACCCCGCGAGCAGGGCGGAGCGAGTCGTCGAGGACGAGCAGGCGGAGGAAGCAGTCCAGCTGAGGGAGGTAGCGGTTGAGCCCTCCGCTCCTTGCGAGGTGGAAGTCAGCAGCCTTCATCGGCGTGATGGGCAGGTTTCTTGCTGCGACCACAAACACTCTGAAGCTGCTGCTTCTGCACCTTGCCGAGCAGCGGGATAGAGCGACGAGCCTGACAGCATGCAGCCTCCTCCAGGCCGCCTGCAGGATCCTTGCAGCTGAGATGAAGAGGGAGGAGGCCGTTGGTTGGATGAGACTGCACGACATTGGGATCTCTCGACCCGGATGCTGAGTGAGTTGGGTCAGACTGATCATGACGGTTCCGATGTAAGCTGTTGACGTGCGAGAGTGCTTGTAGTAGTCAACAACTTGCTGAGAACGATGCCATCTCCCCATCGTCCCTGCCGAGTCTTCGCGATCTTCCTCTTCCCACCCCGTCCATTCCTTGGATTTCTCCTCCAATCTCCGTCTCCCTTCCTCTTCAAGCAAACTGCCTTCCTCCTGGAGCATACCAGCGTCCCAGAGGGTGATCTCAAGGATGGACAGGCGAGGAGCGCAAGTTTGGAAGGCGCAGTCGAAGTTCCATGTCGGGCTTGTTGTGCATGTGCTCAGCTCGTCTACTGCCGTACTGCAGGCCTCGCCCGACTCGTACTCTTCTCCCATCACGCGCAGGCGACAGACGCACACGGGGCTGGGTGGAGTCGGTGCGTCAGACACGATCCCTCTCCCTCTCTGCAAGAAGACATGCAGCACGCGCTCAGGTCCTCCGCTCTCGTCATGTTCGAGCCGCAGCTGCAGGTCGACCCTTCCTCGGCAAGCAACAAACGTCTGGCGCCTACATGGCGGTGTTGTGGGGCCTTGCAGGTTGATCCGAGTGTGAAGGACATCATGTTGCACGAGCTTGCACGAGGGAGACTTGTAGCGATGAATGAAGAAAGGGTTGTCTCCCTCCTGCCATCCTGACACCTTCAGCTGACAAATCGAGCACACCACCGAGTCAAGACACATCCCATTCGCCTGGTACTCGAACCCTGACTTAGCTAGCTGAAGAGGGTTGGGGCAAGAGAAGCGATGCGGCCATCCTTCCTTGAAAGTCTTCAAGCGGCTAAGTTTTGGTTGCGCGGCCTCAGATGCATTCATTTCGTAGGAGTGATAGTTGGCATGAAGCGACTCTCACTCGGCTATCTCCTGTCTCCAGCTCTGTCTCCAGCTCTGTCTCCTATCTCCGTAGTATCTCCTGTCTCTCTTGTGATCTTTTGGCGTAAGTAGCTTACGCCGTCGTCCGTCCGACATGACGGTGAAGCCCGAGCATCACATACAGGAGATCAAGCCTGATGTGAGGGGTGTGGAAATAAAAAAGAGGTCAACTTGACCCGGGCCCGCCTAGCACTCAAGTGCCAATTGACAACATCAACCGTTTTAAAAACAGTCACATTCGTCTCTTACGCTGCTTTATTTCTACCCTGCTTTCAAGCTATCTTGCATCCTTTCATGACAACATTTCTCCTAAAACGGACATCGGATTCAAACCAGCACCAAGGTCAAGGTCAAGGTTAGGTCAACCCACAAGCCCAATATTATTATGTGGGCCCAACGAGGTTTACGAAGTCGTTCTCTTCTGGGTTAAGGACTAGTCTTTCACTCAAAAGACTGCTAGTACGCAATCTGTTCAAGGTAAAACATCGCAAACCGTTCAGGGTAAAACATCATCTAGAAGGTTTGAAAATCATGCAGGGGAAAATGATACTGCTGAGTGTTGGAGAAAGGCCTAAAGACTCTTTTGTAAAGTGAACAGACATGGTCTGACTCGCCCGGTGAGTACAAGATTGATGCCGGAACAGATGATTTGAAGATACCACAGCACAAGAGTCATCCCGTATTGTTTGATGACGAAACGAAGGACATGCTGAAAGACTGAGATAAGATTGCTTACAGCTTCTAGATGTGCGGAAACCAGTGGGAGATGTCATATTCCATGGCGGAGTGGTTTTCTGCATCAACTTCAATTTCACAGTTTACGAGGTGAACTAATCGCAAAGAAGCTGCTCTGAGAAAGAAAATGGACTTGATTGTGATAAATATCATCAAAGTGCACGATAGAGGTCAAGAATTACAAGGTTTAGTGTAGGTATGAAGGATGAGCACTGGCACAATTTCATGTGTGGAAGAGGTCTATCTCGACTGAGAAGCATCACAATCACTCAAGGTGAAATAGGAGAACCCATTGCGATCTTGCAGCAGGCAAGAGGAGGTTCGAAGCATGCAATCAAGTAAGAAAAGTCCTCCACTGCGACAGTTGGGTTTTCAAGTTAAGATGTTGAATCAAGATGGATAGTATGATACACAACTCAGTTTACATTTTGCTTTGTCTCTGTGGTTTTGCGCGCAGTGGATTGCTGAATCTATCTCCAACAACAACATGTTGGTGTTATGCCATCGTGACCCACAGCGGGTAGTTGAGTTATTATTGATTTATTATAAATAGTTCTGCTGGGAGGGATAAACCCTAAGTCGCCAACGCATCCATGGCCCCGTTGATGCGGAGTGAAGGAGGGAGCATGAGGAGGATGCTGTGTGTATATGTGCTTTGGGTTGTACTAGGGGTATGGATATGTCCTAAGGCCGAGGCAGCAAGCAGCGAGAGCTGTGGGGGCTGCACGTTCCATGTCTCGGATGAGGGTTTGCTGTCGAGGGAGGGAAGCTGTGGGGGGGACTGTGGAACTGATCAGGGGGGTCAGAAAACTTTGAGCATGGACTCAAAGGGTATTTGGAACATAACAAACGGGACTTTCGACGGGCTCTCGAGCTTGCAGCATCTATATCTTTCCAACAACAACCTGGAGAGTCTGCCTGCAGGGGTCTTCGACGGGCTCTCGAGCTTGTCTACTCTATCTCTTCACTACAACAAGCTAGAGAGTCTGCCTGCAGGAGTCTTTGATGGGCTCTCGAGCTTGCAGAGGCTTTCACTTTCCAACAACAAACTGAAGAGTCTGCCTACAGGGATCTTCGACGGGCTCTCGAGCTTGCAGTATCTACATCTTTATTTCCTCCCTGGCTTTTACCGGTTTGTCTTCGCTTGTGTATGTAGACCTTACAGGCAACAAACTACAGTGCTATCATCCATCCTGGCCAAGTTTTGCTCGACTGTGTGACGGGAACCTAGAACAGTGCCTACATCGGTGTACAAATATACAGTTCTCAGTCGTTATTCCGACTGTGCTCGTGACTTTGTTGTCAATTATTTTTCTCTCAAAGAGGCAAATACGTGAGACCAAAGGCATTGCTTCGGTCGACTTCGATTCCCTCACTGACATGCGGCAGATCGGCGTAGGCACTTTCAAGCTCGTGTACCAGGCCCGATGGCAGCAACCGCATGGGGCCAGCTCCGAAGTGGCGGTCCTGCGAATCCGTGGCAGCGGATCCGCTGGGAGGATGAAAGAGTTCGAGCAGGAGGTGAAGATTTTCCAGCACTTGGGATTTCACCCGAAACTCCTCCAACTTCTTGCCATCACAAACGAGCCAGGGTCAGGCGACTACTGCATGGTGACGGAGTTAGCGTCCAAGGGTGCGTTGGATGTCATCCTGTCGAGCCTTGCTAAGGAACGTCAGACTCTCAGTCTACTGGTGCAGCTGCAGGTTGCAAGGCAGATCTGCGACGGGATGGTACATCTTGCACTGCATGGGGTAGTGCATGGGGATCTGGCAACGAGGAACGTGCTGGTGTTCCGCCTGGATGCGCGGAATCACCTGGATGTGAGTGTGAAGGTCGCTGACTACGGATTGTCCATCATATCTGCGCGGTGGTACCGTCAGAGCCATGCAGCGAGCTTCAACACGGCACGGTCGATGACTCGGCCAGTCCGATGGATGGCACCGGAGAGCATCGAAAGAAGGCAGTTCTCGGAGAAGAGCGATGTGTGGGCGTTCGGGGTGACCATGTGGGAGATCTGGACCTATGCCGAGAAAATTCCTTATGAGAGCGTCTCGGAGGATTCGCTTGTGGAAACTAAGGTCCTCGGCGGTGAGCGACTTCCGAGATCCCCGTCGTGCCCGGCAGCTGTGTACAGCATCATGCTGGAATGCTGGAGGGAGCGGAAGTCAGAGCGGCCAGGGTTCAGCGACTTGCAAAGAAAGCTGCAACAACACGACTTAACGGTGGCAGAGAGTTCAAGTGAGGATGAGCCCGATGATTACAGTCAGCAGTGCGTCATCTGCTTGGAGCGAGAGGCCGTGTGGGCGCTGATCCCCTGTGGACACATGTGTCTCTGTGAGGTTCACAAGGAGGGAGCAGCTTCCAGGCCATGCCCGATCTGTCGTTCAAATCCGACAAGCGTGCACAGGATATACTAAATAAGAGCACATACTAGTCTTAAGCGCTGGATCGAAGTGAGAGAGAATTGGAGAGGAGGTTAACCGGTGTTTGAGAAGATCAAAGGATTGCTGACACTCGGGAGTCCATTGAAAGACAGCATTCTTACGAAGAAGAGCATGAAGAGGAGCAGCAATGTGGGCATAGTTGCGAATAAAGCGACGGTAATATCCGGAGAGCCCAAGAAATATTTTGATCTCCTTTGCGTTGCTGGGTGGTGGCCAGTCAAGGATCGCACTGGTCTTGCTGGATTGGGTCGATATGCCCTCAGCAGAGATTTGATGACCGAGGAACTCGACACTATCTTGAAAGAGCTTGACTTTTGATTTCTTGATGTAAACTTGATTCTCGCGGCATCGCAGAAGAACGCGACGAAGAGTGTTGAGGTGTTGATCAAACGTGCCGAAATCAAGGATGAGCAAGTCATCAATGTACGGGAATACACTGGTAATATCACGAAAGAGAAGAGTAATCCATTCTTGAAAAATATTGCTTGCGTGAATGTAGCCGAATGGAAGATTGCGAAACTGATATTTGCCAAACTTGGTGATGATGGCGACATATTTGCGATGATCAGGGGCAACAGGAATTTGCCAAAAACAGCGGAGAAGATCGAGAGCTGAAATCCAAAGTTTGTATTCAGCAGGGTGCAAGAAACGCTTGGATTTGCGAATGACCTCGGCGACAGATTCTAACATCTCCTCAGGGTTAGGAGTGGGATACCTGGGGTTGCTGTGGACCATGGCATTAAGTTTTCTCAAGTCACTGCCTGCAAAGACGATAGCTGGAGGGGCGGGCGGGCACTGACCGCCCGGGCCGCCCGGCGCCCGGCGGCGTCCGACCGGCGTCACCCAGTCTGAGCCGGCCAGTGCGCGGCGGCGCGGCACTCAGCACGGTCAGCCTGCCAGCCGGCGTGACAGCGGCGGGGCCGCCGCGACGGCCTGTGCCACACTCAGGCTGGCACTGGCATCAGAAACGGCGTAGCAGACACAGTCGGTGTAGTTGGAGGAGACGTGAAGCGGAGAGCCTAGGGATGTAGAACTTGACTAGAGCCACAAGACTTGAACTTTGGCCGGGCGGGAGGGGTGCCGGCGGGTACTCTGTAGACTGGTACGGTCACCGCGGTACTGGGTGGACTCGGACCGGGTACCGTACGGTCGCCCGTCACACCGTGCCACCGTGGGTACGGGTAGTACGGCATGACACAAGAACGAGGGTGGGGTGGTGGAGTTTTTGGTTTGTGGCCCTCATGAGAGACTTTTTAGGGTTAAAAAGCCGTGAGGCTATTGATCATCACACTTATCTGCGGTGATGCCCCTGATCTCATAAATTATATCTTTTGGTGTATAATTATTCGTTTATACTGGAAGTCCTGGTAGCAGTTGGCTATAAATATCACAATATTTCATAATGATGATATATGATGATTGAGATTACTTTAGTATCGAATTTACTGCGATCAAGGCCACGTTCTGCGCTGACTCATCCTGAGGCAAGCCTGCAGACCCTTCACGTCTCTGGCTCGGGAGGGGGTAGGGTCATTCGGTCGATGGGATTTTCACGGGTGGTATCATGTACAGAGGGGTGAGAGACAGTGAAATTTCTCAGGATTAGACCGGTACATTTCAACTTGATAGTCAGGGATAGGTAGGGTCTTGGGGAAAGGAGGGGTACAGGAAGGAAAGATCCTTGCCTACGGCCGAAGAAGCCCGGATAACATTTGAGCCGGTTGCAACGATCGCGAAAAAGTACTTTTTCGATTTATAAAAATATGTATAGGTCATAAAATAGAAAACTCTCATTCCCGGGATGTAGATCACAGGTGGGGTACAAGCTGAGTTCATGTAGGATCAAGGTGGGGTATTTCATGTACAATGAAGGGGTAGAGGGTGAATCCGTACGACACAGCTATGGGGGTAGGGTCATGGAGGGGTGCTCCTCAAGAAGAAAGGCAGGAGGGCTGTCGGAGAGCGAGGCCCCCATTGAACGAGGGAGGACAAGAGCAAAGGGGGAGCAAGGAAGGAAGAAAGGCAGTGCAGATCAGGTGCGAGATAGCTAGAGGAGCAAGTCAGCTGCGAACAGCACAACAAAACCAACTTGGATCGTCAAGACGACGAGGTTGAATTCAGAAGAAGCGAACATGTATAAAGTGCAAAGGGTTGCTCAAGCGTGTGACAACATGGCTCAAGTGATTGGACGGAATTTGATTCGTAGAAGAAGAAATTCATCATCCGAGTTTATTGCTCACATGCAGAAATCTGCACCGAAGTTGGATCTTGTCAACGCAAGATTCAAGCTGCGCGCAGATGTTGACAGGCAAGCGGACAGCTTCTCCAACGCGTTCACAAGGACGTCAAGCGGGAGCTTCTCCAACGCGTTCACAAGGACGTCAAGTGGGAGTGGAATCGTTAACACCAAGAGTCTCTTCGATTTCGCCGTGGTCAATACAGCAACTAGAAACCTTTCCGCAAGAGGACAGCGATTTGATTGGATCGTTTTCCCGTCGAGTCAATCACAAGCCACTACCGCACAAGCCTTGGTGCCACATATCGTGGTCAGTCGGTCGATCGATTGTTGGGGTAGCATGATCTCAGATGGCACCTACGCTGCCATTGAGCTGAGAACAAGGGCACATACTGGTAGTGCAATCGACGAATACGGAAACTTCAAGACAAGTCGCATGAAGGATCAGACACAGACTTTCATGTTCGGTCAGTTGTAGAACTCGTGCCATAGAGCATACAAAGCTGGAGTGATCGGTCCTGACTCCCCGCTCTCCTTTCCCCCTTCCTAGGCCTTGTTATTTTATGTAAATTATTGTTGTATTTTAGTATATTACGAAAAACAACTCCTGTGTTACTTCGAATCACACCTTGTAGTGTCCACTCCAGTCACCAAGGCTTGCCATACACTCTGATCGACTGCGATTGAATCCCTCAACAGAAGCTACAGAGCTGAAAATGACGACTAGCACGCCTGGCTGTGAAATAATCTGACGAGCACGAGGCTCAATCAAGTTCATTTTGCTTCAGGTAATTATTTCATCCTCATAAATACCCTCCACGGCTCATTCCATAGCCGCCGCCACCTCGGCCCTGTGCACGTCGTTATCAACGGAGGAACCGTTACTGGGGTATTCACCGAGAGCGGTGTGCCGTTCATCATCCCATCGAACTGTTCGATCTCGGGCTCGTGGAAGGTATCAGTTGGGGCTCTGGAAGGAAAGTCAGTTCACAAAGTACTAGACTAGCTGTGTCTTCACACCTGATTCTGTTGGTGGCAAGTGGGATCCATTCATCCTCCTCATCGTTTCCACCTACGTAACTGACAAGTACCTGACGACGAGTCAGGCGGTTGTATCCGCAAGATTTCCCAATACCTCCCTCTGCACTCCCATTCGACCTCCCAGCGCTCCTGAGCCTCCTGCGTGCTTCACTCTGATCTTTTTCACCTGAGCCTGGGGCCATTGTCAAGCAAGGGAAGGGCCAAGGTCAAGACGCGCACCTGCCACCACTCCTTCTCCCATTCGACCTCGACATCTGCTCCTTCGTGCAGCCATGAAAATTTATCATTGGAGGGATTTTTCCCTGTGTTATGATGAGACGCGAGTCGAAGACATCTCAACGCAAAGCGTGTATACGTTTCTTGTCGTTTGCACCAAGACTGGGTCTGCCTGCGCCTCTTCCCGTTGGTTCTTCCTCCGCATCGTCGTTCTGTAACACCCAAAAGTTCAAACATGGTGATCGGTGAAAATGAAAAGAGACTGCTGCAAGAGTTCAAGGAAAGATTACCTGGTTTGTAAAGAGACTTTCGTCAATGCTATCAACGTCTGTCAGTAAGACTCCCGGATTCGGTAACGAATTACTTGCTGATATCGTCATCAAGCTGTTTCAATTTCGATGCAACAAGCTCCAAACAAGCTTGTGCAGTGCTGACCTGGTATGCAGATTAATCAGCTCCTTGAGAATAGGATGTCATCCAACCTTTTCTTCTGAATATTGCAAGCAATCCGTTTGGTTCTTGTCGATTGATTTCTTGAGTTCAATCATATCCTGCACTCTGACTTCACAATGCGAGCTAGGGACGATATCCGTCACCGTCGAGTTCCTGTTCTTTGCTGAGCTGTAAACTTGACTATCCTGGTTGATCTTGTCCTTCAAGTCGATCACCTTCGAACCTGTTCAGGGACCTAGAAAATCGGAGCCAATGGCACCTTCGAGTCCAGAGAGTTGATGAGGGCAAAGTTTCGCTTTATCTCTGCTGGGACATTCTTCACTGACGAACAGAATTCCTGCAAACCCATGCGGGGTCAGGAAAGCATGACGAGGAACGGTATGCAGGACCTCCATGTAGGCGCTAAGGTCTTGCACGCTGCCCCCTCCCATCTTGCCCTGCCTCCCTGGGATCGATATCGCTCCCGAACCAGCGTAGGCGACATTTTGTCTCAGTGACATGCCTTGACAGTTCAAGCTCCTTGCCCAAGTTGAACAAACCTGCACTTATGATCACCAGTAAGTCAAGCTAGGAAGCCCTCGGTATCCTTGCCCGATGATATGTGATCTTGCTGGCTCAAACCATCACATCATCATCAACTTGAAAGATCCAGGAAGGAGGAGGGATCGGCAACATTGATGAAGCAGAAGCGGCAGTCGACACACCAGGAAGCAAATCAACATACAAGGGTGCATCTAGCAAAGATCTGAACCGAAAACAGTTCCAGGAAGGCTGGATCTTCTGGTGTACTGTCTATCAGCTGGAGCAACTCCATCACCGATAGTATCCAATCTCGTCGTGTTCACTGCTGCCTCCCCTCCCTCCCTCCCTCCCTCCCTCCCTCTCTCCCTCCTTCCTAGCTAGCATGCTTTCTAGCCGCGGCAGCCCTTGAGGCGGACCCGCCATGGTGTCCCGAATACATTTTTCAAACTTTGTTGAAATAAATGGGGATATTTTCGAATTTGTTTCGTAGGTTTCAGCACTCTTGGTTCCACCTTATGAAAGGAAAAAATTCGAACTAGAAAAAAATGGAGGGAGAGGGAGGAGGGAGGAGGGGGGAGGGAGGAGGGAGGGAGGGAGGGAGGGAGGGAGGGAGGGAGGGAGGGAGGGAGGGAGTTTTTCAACCCTTCTGGGTTGAGAAAGCAGAAGGGAGCGAGAGAGAAGCAAGGAGGACAAGAGAGATATCACATTGTCCAGCACGCACATCATCTTCACCTTAAGTCTAACGATACATCTCTTGGAGGGATCAGCAGAAAGCTCGACTAGAAGCCGATCTATGTCTTGCTGCTTCGTCGAGGTCTCTTTCATCC